GTTGTCGCTCGAGTACTCCCTTGGTCGGCCTCACCTTTCTTGTACATATTTCTCACGTCCACATTGGACAGGGTAGGATTAAGGTAGCTTAGGGCGAGCGCTAGATCTTCCTCCGAGAGCAGCTCGACCACGGGGGCGTTCATGCTGACGTAGTCTTTCATGCAGGTTGCCTCCCCCGTGGTCTCAACCACCCAGCTCATCGCGGTCTGTAAGGCCGATATCCCGGAACCAGTTGATCACCAAGCCGGTGCTTTAGGGTCAGAATGTAGCAGGTATGCTTGCCACTGTTTTTCTGCATGGTTGGTCACGTTGGCCACCGTTCCGTAACACGATATCACCACCATACGCTCGCATGATCACTTGAATGATCCACCGTATGGATGCAGACACCTCTTTTGCCACTGATATGCGGTCGACATTACCACCGTAGTTGCTAATGGAACGAGGCGAACTGTTACTCATTCAACGTGCCACCAGGAGTGGAAATCCGAGCAAGCGCCATTGACGTTGGAACGCTACCTCGTTCGTCAAGTAAAACATGCTCTTCAGCGGACTTCCATCACTCAGCTACCTTGGAAAGCTTGCGCCGAAGGCCAATGAAAAAAGGGCACGATGCCAGTGTTGTGTGGCACGAAGTTATCCTTGTCGTGCAAACACCGTTGAAAGTCTCTGGGCGAAGGTTTCGGAGGATTGTTGGTGAACCCACGCCATATCCTTTGAATAAGATGTGGGGCGAAACGAAACGCCTTCCTTCTACTATGCATTTCGTGCTTGTTGTGGTCACGGGCTGGGTTTGGTTCCGGGTTTAGCTCGATCTCATCAATAGAACATTGTTGGGCCGAAAGAAAGTGGACTCATCGTCTCGGACTGGCCATGAGCAAAGCAACATTTGGACGTTCAGAATGATAAAATTACGAGTGGAGTTGGCGCTGAGGATATGTTCTAGCTGTATTATTCCAACGGTGTTACCTGTGCTGGCGCCGTAGAATAAGCCGGAATGTCAAGCCGATCTTCCTGGGCCTTTGACATTCCCTCTGCTAGCCTCATCATCATGCCTGGCTCCCCGGTGCCTTCCTGGGTGGCACCCTCTGCCTGGCGCACAGTATCATACAGCTTTCTTCTCTGCCTTCCTTCCGTCAGGCTCTTGCTCAGCTGGAGTAAACAAACACGACACAAAGATGCATGCATATTCTCGCTCAGCCATTCCGGGCACGAGAATGTTGCTTGGGCGACGACTACGGTAAATGCTACGGCAGTAGCGAGACAACGGCAGCAACAGCGGTAGCAGCTGCAGCACCAGAGTGCCAAGTACGCAGACCGTCCTGATGCCAGCGAAGCCCTGTGATGGTTGATGTCTGACAAAATATGTTGCGTACTCTAGCCCCGGGTACCACAACCCCCCACGACAATGACATTGGTCAATCCTTTACGGGTCGATCCGACCTGCACAATGACCGCGTCTCTAGCCTTTGGCGCATCGTCCGTTCCGAACCGCACTTCCTCCGTAACCTGTAACCGACAAAGTTCATATATTTGGTTGCGAGACGTCGTATCTATGAGGTACTGTAGTGGACCTGCAATAGGTACGGGTGTCAAGATCGTTGTCCTCACTGAGACGGTCGATGACAGCTGGTGGATATTATTTTCGATGACAAAACCGTTGTGATCAAAGCGTTATCTCTACGCTCTTTTCATTGATGACCCTTCTCCTTAGGCCACGTGTATCGACTCCTGAACCTACCACATTGAGAGGTACGCGGCCAGAACAAACCATGGGATCAAGTGTACAGATTGTTTGTGCTCACAGGCTGGGTAATGCATGCGAGTGGATAGTGGAAAGTACCCGAGGCAAGTACGACGCGCTAGAAGACAGCCACGAAGAGTCCACTTTGTTCAACTTCGCACCGAAAGGTCTTGCCTGAAACGTGGAGCTGTAGCGGTCGAAGGCTAGATGGATGTGCGATACGCGGTGCTTCCACACTCCCCTCCACGCCAGCATCGCTTGCGGCAACAGCTCATCGAAGTCCACGGTCTGGAGGACAAGCGTTGGGAATGGACCAGGACCACAGGAAACGCTAGTGCATGAGCAAAAGGAGGTTCGATCTGACCGAAGACTCGACGTTGTCGAAGAAAGACGGATGTGCCGAAACCAAACCTGTGGCGATTGTTGTATAGCACCTCGTACATGCCAGCACACAACAACTCATGGCACTTGTACCTGTTTTGCTAGCGGTACTTCCCCTGGGGGCATGGTGTTGCCTCGCTTCCCTCTCTCTCCGGGGCGCGCCCTTGTCGAGTTCAGATTGTTCGAGTCCTGCAGTGACAAGCATCGCAAACAAACAGTCTTGATTTTCTAACTCATAGACAGGCATGTGAACATCGAATGCTCGAAAGCGGTCATGAATACCTATGGAAATGCACATGTACCAAAACAGCTAGGGAGAGAGAGAGGAGTGGGGAAAAACTAGCTCCTCTGCCTCATGGTCCTGGACTAACGCTCCCCCCACGCTCCCCCCACCCCCGGTGTTTACCATCGGGGTTGGGTTTTCGTCGCTTGGCAACGACGTTGTAAAACAAGCCAA